AAAAATAATAATAATTTATAATATCGTTCACAATCGACACTGTCTTAGCTATTTGATTGCCAAAGAAAGATACTCTAAGATAATAAAAAATCCTCTTAATTTTTTTTTTTTAATATATTTTATCTTTTAATCTCAGATTATTATCTATAAAGTACTTCATAACAGGGCTGCGAATTATGCTCAAATCCATCAAACTTGTCTAGCCTTATGCTCGAATCCTCGAGTTTGTTAAGGGTGCTTTGCGAGGGCTCGTTAAGGGTTCGTTTCTCAATGAGCAGTAAATTAAATTTAAATATAAATCAGAAATAAATATATTACTTGATTTCCTTTATGAGTTTTTTATGAAATCAAGCCAAAGCAGAAGAAAGAAAATCTGCAATGAAATCTAATAAATCGAATCGACCTAATCAAATCTCTAGCTTGCGCTCTATGAAGCATTTTGTAAGGGTATATTGTATGTTTACATACTTATTAATACAATATATGTATACATGCATATATATGTCTATAGACTCTGCCTGATATGGTATGAACTTGTTTGTCTACTCGAAATTTGCATTTCCATAAGCTGCGGCGCGGTTGCCTTGGCATCAATTTGGCATCGCTTACAGTTGGCAAACATCAACAGCAGCAGCAGCAGCAGCAGCAGTCGCTCTTTGGCATCATTACACACAGAGACAGAGACAGGGAGAGAGAGATGGTAATGGAGAGAGAAAGAGTGAGTGAAAGCGACCTCTGCTCCCATTAAAGACTCGGCACCCTGCAGTTTCAGCCCCTGCGGCTGCATTTTTTGATTCGAGGCGCATAAAAGTATGCTACGGCATTGTAAGAGGCCTCGAGATGAGCGACGCAACACAATGAGAAAAAAAGAGAGAAAAAAAGAGAGAAAAAAAGAGAGAAAAAAAAAGAGGAAAATACAGACTGAACTTCAAAAGACCGCCCACGGCAATTTTCAATTAAAAACGCCTACGCGAATGCTACAGAAATTTCAGTTCACTTCTGCTTGCAAGCGAGATGCGTGGCAGCATGCGGGTTGCTCTCACTGCCGGCTCCTGCCAGCCTCGCCTGCCCTCGAGCTCTTTTAAAGTTGTGCCCCAAAAATTTAGTTGATGGCCTGACATGAGATTGCACTCAAGATTTGACAGCATGTGTGTGTGCGTGTCTGTCTATCTATCTGTGCCTCTTTACAAGATATGGCCAACAGCTATATGTCAGAGCAACGTACAGTACAACTGCGCATCTCAAGCATTGACAAAATGGGATAGAAAAAAAAATATATATATATACATATATATATAAGAAGCGCATGTTCTGGCCATGGCTTGCGATGGCAGCGCACTTGAGTGGCGCTCGAGAACGTGGCTAAATGCGGTCGAGCACGTTGTTGCTGTTGTTGTTGTTGCTGTTGCTGTTGTCTAGCCCCTTGTTAGCTCTAAGGTGAAGAACTTAAGCTAAAAACGTAGCCCAAGCTGTGACAGTTGTATGACAGTTGCACTGCCTGCTGCACTTCACTTCACTTCACATTAGGAGCTTTCTGAGACAAGCTACAGATTTGAATTATTAGATATAGTCACCTTTAAGTTGTGACTAATATAGTATTAGGACAGTTCTAGTGTCTGTATAACAGTTAACAACAAAATCAGACTAGGACTGTTAAGTGTCTCTCAGCTCCAAATAATATTTACAACTTGGATTGGAATTTATAGTAGCTTCTCTCGTATAATCGAAGATATCTTATGCTCTTTAATATTTCTGCTTAATGGGTAAAGCTTTATATCACTTACTTTCACTTTAATCTCAGTGTTGTCATATTCTTGTATAACACATATGGGCGTATGTTATAGGCAGGTGTATACTCTTTTTCACTTATTCTATGTATATCACATACTCCAGTCCTTATCATACGATTTCTGTTATACAAACGCATGTCTAAATGTTTTTATGGCAGTTATAATCGTATATATTGTATACTTGATATATATGATATCAGGTAAGATAAATTTATTCCTGAAACTTACGCAAAGATTTTGTATAACAGTTATGACTGCGATATGACTAAAACTATTTTTTTGTAATTTTCAACCATTACTATTTGGAAAGTATGTTAGTTTCATCACCAATTAAAAAAGCGGACTTTTATGCATTTTATATAACACTTATTTATGCTTCATTTGTATAACAGTTGCCAATAGGAATTCTATTTTGGGAACTCGTAAGTTTCGTGATTAGTTAAAGTAGTAGGCAGGTTAAACTAAAGGTAAACAGAAGTCTGTTATAACACATATACTGTGCTACAGTTTGATATGAGCAAAGTCTAAGGTATACCATTTTTTTCGTTATACAAGCAACATACTATACAATAAATAAATAATACTAGTTTTAGACTAATTAAGATTAGTTTTAACTATGCTTTGTATGACACATTATAACAGCTACTTATTGAATGCTTTCCCATCTTCCATTGCAGTCACGCACATCTCTCGTCTCTAGCTCGGAGGGCGGCATTCTGGCCGAAGGCGAGACATCCAGCGAGGAGAGCTCTCGCGATTCCAGCAACGATTCGCCGCCCTGTGATTTGGGCCTGATGGAGCGATTGCTGCTAACGCATCCCATGTGGTTTCTGCCCGGCATTCAGCGTTCCGGTGCCGTGCACCTGCTCCAGGGCAAAGAGGAGGGGGTGAGTGTTGATAATTATGAATATATTGATAGCGCTTAATGAGGCAATTGCGAGCGTATGCAAAAATTATGCATTGCCATAAAAACCGGAACACACAGCCAGCTGACCACAAAATTTGCACACAATTTGCCCAGGCCGAGCAAATATGAAATGCGAAACAAAAAAGCGACCAAAAAAAGCAAATCCCAATGGATGATGCAAACAGGCGCATTTACATAAACAAATTGCAATCAATTAACGTGAATGTGAAAGGGCAGCAGAGCGGGGCCATGGAGGGGCAGGGCCAGGGTCAGGGGCAGCGGCCGGGTGGTTTGGGTTTGGGTTTGGTAGCAATCGGGATTTGTGGTGCGTGTCCTGGACAAACACACAGACAGTGAAGCACACAGATTCATTAATATTACGACAGCGACAACAATGCGAAGCCCTTTTAATTGTAAATGTATAAAGATAAACAAAGAAATGTTGCCAGGCATCCAGCAGCCGGAGAAGTAGTATGTATAGCAGCAGGAGTGGGAGGCGGAGGCGTTGTCCAGGACTCGCGCTGCTGCGCTTGCAAATACATTGAAATTTATCTGGCTGCCAGCAAAAGGCAGACGACGCTGCGGCACATGACAAAGGCGACGAGAGACAATAGCCAGCCAATGGGATTTGTACACACAAAAACCGTCTAGATGGGGCTGGCCAGCAAGCAGCAGCAGCAGGAGCAGCAGCAGCAGCAGAAGCAGGAGTTGGGCCATGAGACCGACTGCTGCTGGTTGCTGCTGGTCATTTGGCGATTCAAGTCGCTTTGCATAGACAATTGAAATTACAACGAAGCGAACAGGAGAAACGCCCAACAAATTGTACAGATTCAATAAGTTGGCAAGCCGGCCGGACTGCCGGCAGGACAATGCCAAGTCGCAGTGTCCTTCGCAGCAATTATCACGTGTTCGCCAGACAGCCTGCCTGACTGGCTGGCAGGATAACAGGCAAATGGTTTCAGTGAATGCTTCATCGAATCGCCTGAATGCCAACTAAATTGCTATCCATTTGTTAGCCCAAGGCGACCTCAAGTGGGGGGCGTGGCAAATGCATCACAAATTGTAAATTATATGCCAACATTTATATAAGTGAGTCTACAGAGACTGCGACTTGGCCAGAGAAAGTTGTCAACTTAATTGAAAATAACTTGACAAAAAATGCGAAAATTTATTGTTATATTTATGCATTTACATAAAAATATATATCGATATATAATGTTATATATGCATCTATATAACACGAATATATCCAGCTGCTTTTATCTCATATTTATATATAATCCAATAAAAGCAAAGTAAAGCAATGTTCGCCCATCAAAAGCAGATTTTTATGTTAAATAAAATTTCGTATTGTTCGTCAATGCTCGACTAAGGAATACCGCGCAATCAGCTGCTGCTCAGCTGTCCAAAGTCTCTAATATCTCACTTTAAATTTATTTTTAGTATATTTTAATATTCTAATCGTATAATGAATCATCTCAGAGCTAAAATATTATACTAAAATAATTTTTATAATTTCATATATTTGAAACGAAATTTTGTATAAAAATTAATTGAATTCTAAACTCAATAGTAT